CGCGGGCACTTTAAGACCCCCCCCCCGGTCTAGATAGGGTTAAAGGAAAGAAAGAAGGGCTGGACGAAAACAGCTGATTTATTGCTGTTTTCATGACGAATAAAAGACTTTGGTTGTTACACTGTGTTCTCTCATTCAATTTGTGTCCAAACATTTGTCGCCCCTTGGTATATTTGAAATCTATGCATCTTGCTTTTTTTGCCCTTCTTGTTTTTTTCGCGCTCTCGCATTAGAGTTAGGGTCTCCAGAGGACGTCAACCATGAAAATTACATGGTGTGGCCTTAGGTCAATATAAGTTTTCGCTATTGGCAAATCCTATTCCGACCGATCGCTAGTGCTAGCATACTAGTACCTTGCTAGAAGTACATCCATGGCAGATGCCTGAAGGGGGCAAACCAACTTGACATCCCTTTGACGAAAACAAAGCGGTACAAAACGAGCCCAATCCCCTATTTCACTGATTTGTTAAATAAACAAGCAGACCTAGGTTGAAATCTCCCAGTACCGGACCAATATTGTTTTTAATCACTTATATATCTAATTTATAACTGCGTACAGCTAGTATTTGTTTTAGTTGTTTGTACCTAGTTTGTCAATGTCCTTTGTTTGTTTAGCCCACCTTATTGTTTAATTGTTTTTAAACCTGTGTACGCAATTCAGCGGTTTAAACGCTGCCATGTACAAGGATTGTTGTCAATAAATAAACTATTATTATTATTATTATTATTATTATTAAGTAGCTGGTTTATTTTTGGTATAAAAGCATGTTGGCAGCCCAAGGGCTGAATTGTACTGCTTCCTTCACACCATTGACCGTATGTGTATCAAACTGAGATAAGAAACATGTTAAATTAACAGTGATGTTGACCGGAGGGCACGGACATGCAACAGGCTTGTATATTCTGCGCCAGGAAAAAATGCATACAAGAAAAATGATACTCATATCAACGCGATGGACACGGGCAGTCGAGTACACATTACTTAGGGTTCTAAGGCATTCCTGAACTGACAGCCTGCGTATTCAAGTGCAATTTACACAATCTGTATGATATATGCACGGTATCTATGATATTGTACGACTAGCTGGCGAGTAGAGATTAAGAAAGACATAAACCCATTCAAGGCTGTAGTTGTAAAAGGGCCGGGAAGCATCTAGTGATCAAGAACAGTAGTGTATGGAATATGTATCAGTAAGAACATATCGCTAGTTTCTGCAGCTAAAAATGACTATTGGCATCAAATCT